TGTTTAGGTCTTCAATCCATTTTGAATGAGTTTTTGTATATGGTGTGAGGTATGGGTCCTGTTTCATTTTTTTGCAGATGGACATCCAATTTTGCCAGCACCATTTGTTAAAAAGACTTTCTTTTCCCCATTTGATGGACTTTGGGCCCTTGTTGAAGATCATGAGACCATAGGTGGATGGATTTACATCTGAGTTCTCAATTCTGTTCCATTGGTCAATGTATCTGTCGTTTTACAGTACCAGGCTGCTTTGACTACTGTAGCTGTATAGTAGGTTCTGAGGTCAGGTAGTGTGAGTGCTCCTACTTTATTCTTCTTCAGTAATGCTTTACTTATCTGGGGCCTCTTCCCTTTCCATATAAAGTTAATGATTGTTTTTTCCATCTCTTTAAAGAATGTTGTTGGTATGTGGATCGCGATTGCATTGAATTTGTAGATTGCTTTGGGTAGAATTGTCATTTTCACAATGTTGAGTCTACCTGTCCATGAACATGGTATGTTTTTCCATTTATGTAGATCTCTTTTGGTTTCTTCCTGTAGTGTTTTTTAGTTTTCTTTGTATAGGTCTTTTACATCCCTTGTTAGATTTATTACTAAGTATTTTATTTTTTTAGGGGCTATTATAAATGGTATTGTTTTCCTGATTTCCTTTTCGTCGTTCTTATTATTGGTGTATAGGAATCCAACTGATTTTTGTATGTTTACCTTGTATTCTTCTACTCTGCTGAATCTTTCTATGAGTTCCAGTAGTTTTCTTGTGGAGTCTTTTGAGTTTGCTGTATATAGTATCATATCATCTGCAAATAGGGACAGTTTTACTTCTTCATTACTAATTTGGATGCCCTTTATTTCTTTTCTTGTTTTGTTGCTCTAGCTAGGACCTCCAGCACAATGTTAAATAGGAGTGGTGATAAAGGGCATCCTTGTCTTGTTCCTGTTCTCAGGGGGAATGTTTTCTGCTTCTCTCCATTAAGAATGATGTTAGCTGTTGGTTTTGTATAGATGCCTTTTATTATGTTGAGGAATTTCCCTTCTGTACCTATTTTATTGAGAGTTTTTCTCAGGAATGGGTTTTGGATATTGTCAAATCCCTTTTCTGCATTGATTGAGATGATCATGTGATTCTTTTATTTATGTAGTGGATTACGTTGATTGATTTTCTAATGTTGAACCATCCTTGCATACCTGGTATGAGTCTTACTTGGTTGTGGTGTATTATTTTTTTTATATGATTCTGCATTCTATTGGCTAGAATTTTGTTGAGAATTTTTGCATCTATATTCATCAGGGAAACCCTGGTGGAGTAGTGGTTAAGAGCTATGGCTGCTAAGCCAAAGATAGGCAGTTCGAATCCTCCAGGTGCTCCTTGGAAACCCTATGAGGCAGTTCTACTCTGTCCTTTGGGTTGCTACGAGTCGGAATGGACTCAATGGCAATGGGTTTTTGGTTTTATATTTATCGGAGATATTGGTCTGTAATTTTCTTTTTTTTTGTGGTGCCTTTGTCTGGTTTTGGTTTCAGGGTTATGCTGGCCTCATAGCATGAATTTGGAATTATCCCTTCCTTTTCTATGTTCTGAAATAGTTTGAGTAGTACTGGAGTAAGCTCTTTGAATGTTTGGTAGAATTCTCCTGTGAAGCCATTTGGGCCAGGGCTTTTTTTTGTTGGGAGTTTTTTTTTAATTAACTTTTCAGTCTTTTATTTTGTTATGTGTCTGTTCAGATTTTCAACATCAATTTGTGATAGTTTGGGTAGGTAGTGTGTTTCTAGAAATTTGTCCATTTTCTCTAGATTTTCAAATTTGTTGGAGTATAGCTTTTTGTAACACTGTGTTATGAAGGGTCTGTTGTAATGTCCCCCATTTCATTTCTTATTGGGTTATTTGCATCCTTTCCTGTTTCTGTTTTGTCAATATGGCTAGTGGTTTGTTGATTTTGCTGATCCTTTGAAAGCCAACTTTTGGTTTTGTTGATTCTTTCTATTGTTTTTCTATTCTCTATTTCATTTATTTCTGCTCTCATCTTCATTATTTCCTTTCTTCTGGTGGCCATAGGCTTCTTTTGCTGTTCTCTATTTGTTCGAGTTGTGTAGCTAATGTTTTGATTTTATCCCTTTTTCTTTTTTGATGTGTGCATCTATTGCTATAAATTGACCTCTGAGGACTGCCTTTGCTGTGTTCCAAAAGTTTAGGTATGGTGTGTTTTCTTTCTCATTTGATTCTAGGAATTTTTTGATTCCATCTTTGATTTCTTCTATTACCCAGTGGTTTTTAAGCAGGGTATTATTTAGTTTCCATGTAATTGATTTTTTTTCCTTGCTCTCCTGTTGTTAATTTCTACCTTGATGGTGTTGTGATCAGAGAAGATACTTTGTGTTATCTCAGTGTTTTGGATTTTGTTGAGTGTTGCTGTGTGGCCTAGTATGTGGTCTATTCTGGAGAACGTTCCATGTGGTTTGGAAAAGAATGTATGCTTTGCAGCTGTTGAGTGGAGTGTTCTGTATATGTCTAGGAGGTCAGGTTGGCTGATTGTGCACTTTAGATTTCCTGTATCTTTGTTGAATTTCTTTCTAGATGTTCTGTCCTTTACCGAGAGTGGTGTGTTGAAGTCTCCTACTACTATATTGGAACTGTCAGTTTCTCTTTTCAGTGCTGTTAAAGTTTGTTTTATGTATTTTGGAGCCCTGTCATTGGTTGCATAGATATTTACTATGGTTGCATAGATACTTATTATGGTTATGTCTTCACTTAATGGATCATCCCGTTAATCATGATATAGTGCCCTTCTTTATCTTTTATGATGGATTTTGTTTTTAAGTCTGTTTTATCTGAGATTAGTATTGCCACTCCTGCTCTTTTTTGGTGGCTGTTTGCTTAATATATTTTTTTCCATCCTTTGATTTTTAATAAATTTATGTTTTTGTTTCTAAGGTGTGTCTCTTGTAGACAGCATATTGATAGATCTGTTTTTTAATCCATTCTGTCACTCTGTATCTCTTTATGGGTGCATTTAGGCCATTTTTACGTTCAGTGTAATTATTGATAGGTGTGAGTTTATTGCTTTCATTTTGTAGTGCTTTTTTTTTTGTGGTGCTGATGATTTCTTTGTTCCTTTTACTCTCCTGTGCTGAATTCCTCGTTTGTGGATTTTTTTTTTTTCGTTTCTTTTGTTTTTGCAGGTTTTGTTTTTACTGAGACTTTATGTATTTCTTCCTTTTTTTGATCAATAGGTTTGTTAACTTTCTTTGTGATTACCTTGAAATTTACCCTTCTCTTCCTAAGTTTGAACGAGTCTATTATTTCTTGGTACCGCCTTGTCTTCCTCTGCATTACAAAGTTCTATACCCACACCATTTATTCCGTCTTTTATTGTTCTGACGTTGTTGTCATTTGCGGATTAACCTCTCTGGTTGCCTTTTGTAAATATTTTGGTTTTGAATAGTCCTTGAGAGTTCATTTCCTAGGTTGGTATCTGGCTGGTGCAATCTTGTGTCCTTGATTCAGGATGTCGTCTGATGTTGTTTGTTCTCAAACCAAAGGACTCCCTTTAATGATTCCTGTAAGTTTGGTTTGGTTTTTGCATACTCCCTTATTTTCTGTTTATCTGGAAATATCCTAATTTCACTGTCATATTTGAATGAGAGTTTTGCAGGATATATTATTCTTCATTGGCATTTTTTTGTTTCAAGATTTTGTATACGTCATCCCGTTGCCTTCTCGCCTGCATGGTTTCTCCTGAATAATCTGAGCTTAGACGTATTGTTTCTCCTCTGTACGTGACTTTTTGTTTTTCTCGAACTACTCTCAGGATTGTTTGTTTGTCTTTGGTTTTAGTGAGTGTGATTATGATAAGCCTTGGTGATTTTCTTTTGGTGTCTATCCTATATGGGGTTCTTTGAGCTTCTTGGATGGTCAGCTTTTCATCCTTCATGATAGTGGGGAAGTTTTCTGTCAGCAATTCTTCAATGATCCCCTCTGTTTTTCTGTTTTCTCAAGCTTGGGATGTTCTTGTTAGACTTGTTTCACTCACTATGTCAGTTGTCACCAAAAGATATTGCAAGAGGAAAGGGAGCTCAGGTTTTTCCTGTATGCTTATAGATACTGCTCAGATTCTGTATTTACTGTATATTGGGAAGGGGGTTGCCTCTCAAAGGATGCTTCCCCCAGTCTCCATATATCTAGGGATCAAGACGAGTTTGGAATCCACCTGAACCATCCATTTGAAGAGATTTAGGGACCATGGGTGAGGGGTACTGATGACCGTGAACTTATCAAACTCTATATGCCACCAGGGCTCCAACTTATCAAGCTCAAACATATGAAAGATGTTGTTGTTAAGTGCTGTTGAGTCAATTTTCGACTCATGGCAACCCCATGTGACAGAGTAGAACTTCCCTATAGGGTTTCCTAGGCCGTAATCTTTATGGAACAAATTTCCAGATCTTTTTTCTGTGGAGTATCTGGGTTGGTTTGAACTGCCAACCTTTTGTTGAGCAGCTAAGCGCTTAGCCGTTGAGCCACCAGGGCTCCTTATGTAAGAGATGTCAAAAATATGCATCGATGTGATTCGTCTCTGGAGAAGGTGAGAATATTCTGTCAGTTTCATTTTTCTCCATTTCAGTCATCTTTCTCAAAATTTCCTTTAACTCCTTCTACTATCTCTCTATTTCAGATACACCACTTGGAGCTGATTCCTGCTCCTGTGCTTGTTTATTTATCCCTAGTTCTGCGGCAATGGTTCTTTTCTTTCCCCCCTCTTTATTCAGTGACTGCAAAAATAGGTTCTGTATGAATGATACCATCAAAACTTCAAAAGACAGATGAGCTGCTAATACTGATACTCCCTATTTTATGTATGCTTTCACTAGGCTTTTAAATACTCTTTTCTGCATTAGTCTTTATATCAAGCTTAGTATTGTAGGTATGTGAAAGCTGGGAATATACTTTTTATACTATAATTTTTTATAATTATTAACTTTATAAATTCTTTTTTTTTTTTAAGGAAGAGGAGACAGATAATGAAGAAAACTTTATTGATCTCAACGTTTTAAAGGCCCAGACCTATCGCTTGGTAAGTTACATTTGATATATACAGGCCCAAGTAGCCATCAGTGCACATATTCTGCTAGAAACTGAAATGAGTAGAAACTATTGCTGACTGTTATTCTGTGTGTCATTTGAAAATTAGTTGTCAAAATTATTTTCCTATATATAAAATGTTATATCAAATATAAAGATCCATAGGAATGAGTGAGGCAGTCTCCTCCCCATACTATGGAAGATCAACACAGTGCTTGTGCAAACTGAAAATAATTTATTTGCCTGATGGCATTTTTTATTATCTTATTTCAAATTATTTTCTAGTACAACAGGCCAGTATTAAAAGATTTTGATTAACAGAAAATTCTTAAATCATTTGTAATTCTTTGAACTAAAATAGGTTATATTAAGACCAGTACACTAATAGGGAGCCACACATTGTTTTAAGTCAGTTTTTTGCTCAGTTTTAATTATGAAATAAAGCCAGTCTATAAAGCAGTACATACTCAATGAGATATTTCAAAAGTGTTGTTAGGTACTGTTGAGTTGGTTCCGGCTCATAGTGACCCTATGTACAATAAACAAAATACTGCCCAGTCCTGTGCCATCCTCACAGTTGTTGCTATTGTTGAGCCCATTGTTGAAACCATTGTGTCAATCCATCTCGTTGAGGGTCTTCCTCTTTTTTACTGACTCTCTACTTTACCAAGCATGATAGCCTCCTCCAGAGACTGGTCCCTCCTGATTACATGTCCAAAGTATGTAAAACAAAGTCTTGCTATCCTTGCTTCTAAGGAGAATTCTGGCTGTACTTCTTCCAAGACATATTTGTTCATTCTTCTGGCAGTCCATTGTATATTCAACCTTCTCTGCCAACACCATAAATGAAATGCATCACTTCTTCTTCAGTCTTCCTTGTTCATTATCCAGCTTTTGCATGCATATGAGGCAATTGAAAATACCATGGCTTGGGTCGGGTGCATCTTAGTCCTCAAAGTGACATCTTTGCTTTTTAACACTTTAAAGAGGTCTTTTGCAGCAGATTTGCCCAATGCAATATGTCGTTTGATTTCTTGACTGCTGCTTCCTTGGGTGTTGATTATGGACCCAGCTTAAATCCTTGACATCATACATTCATTAAAAAGACAGGAAAGGAAGAAAAGACCAAAAGAGATGTCAGAAGAGAGGCTGAAACTTGCTCTTGAACATAGAGTAGCTAAAGTGAATGGAAGAAACGATGAAGTAAAAGATCTGAACAGAAGATTTCAAAGGGTAGTTCAAGAAGACAAGTTAAAGTATTATAATGAAATGTTCAAAGACCTGGAGTTAGGAGACCAAAAGGGAATAACATGCTCAGCATTTCTCAGGGTGAAAGAACTAAAGAAGAAATTCAAGCCTCGAGTTGCAATATTGAAGGATTCTATGAGCAAAATGTTGAACGATGCAGGAAGCATCAAAAGAAGATGGAAGGAATTCACAGAGTCACTGTACCAAAAATATATAGTCAATGTTCAATCATTTTAGAAGGTAGCATGTGATCAAGAACTGATGGTATTGAAGGAAGAAGTCCAAGCTGCACTGAAGACATCAGCGAAAAACAAGACTCCAGGAATTGGCAGCATTTCAAAAGTACTTATGGGATTTATGTGTTTTTCTATATGGATGTTAAAATTTAATACAGTATATTACTACTGCACACTCAAAAAATGATATATTAAATATAATATTCTTACATGTCCTTTAATTTTTCTTGTCTGAATTCTACAAACAAATTTCGATCTAGTTTTGGTTTTATATCATGACAACTTCTTTGACCATCCCATCCCAGGATTATTTACCAATTTATCATTTTAGTGTCTTAGTATTGTTAGTTATTAGTTGTTGTTGTTATTAATGGTGTGTATGTATGTGTGTTTTCTGCCTGAGTATATGAATTAATTTTACCACTTACTAGCTGTCTGACCTTGGACAAGCTTTCAAGCTTCTTGTGCCTTAGCTTCTTCATCTGTAAAATAAGGGTAAAAATTCTCACCTATTTCATAGGGTTTTGAAGATTAACAGTAATACATGTAAAGCACTTAGAAATGTGTCTGGCACATGGAAAGTGTTCAGTAGGTATTGGCAGAAACCAAAACCACCTCTCCTCCTTACCCCTCAACCTTTTGTTGAGCAGCTAAGCTCCTTGGTAACAGGAATAGCTGCCCTTTTTTTTAATGTCTGTTCCCCGTAGTGTAGCACAGAAGGTACGGAATAAATATCTCTTAGATGAGTGAATATATTTTTGACTGATAAATTGAAAATACCAGAATAACATGCTAACATTTAAATTCAAACAAACTCCATTTGTAACAGTTCTTTACATTTACAGATCACTTTGTAGTTTTCAAAGTACATTAAAAAATATCCTTTCACTGACCTTGCAAGGCATTTGGGTAGATGTTATCTCAATTTTATAGATACAAAAACTGAAATGTATAATCTTGGGACAGTTTAATCTTTTAGAGCTAATAAATCACCTTATCTGCCTTTGAACTCAGTTCTCCAAACTCCCAAGTCTATTGCTTTTTCCCCTCTATCTCATAACAAGAGTTCAACAAGGTAGGTGTGGTTCAGTTTCCCTTGAGCAAGTGCATTATGGTGCTGGTGTTCATGTAATATATGTGTTGAAGATGATGATGACACAGTGATCCTGAAGTTTGAAAAGAAAAGCAAAAGAGATGAAGAAACGGTCATTCTCAGAAAGAAAATGGTGTTTGTGTTATTTATTTTTATATTGATGGCATAAACAGAGGCCTGCGAAGGCCACCAAGGCCACCTGGGATTCCCCGTGGACAAAACAGTTTCTGCGTATTTGGAAAGGAAAGCCGTTTAATTTGTCCCTACCACTACTGTCTTAAGTTCCTGTTTTTCCCTTATCTGTGCCTTTATCAATCATCTAAGTATTAGATCCTTCAGACAAAGATTATATAGCATATACCCTTTAGAGTTAAGACTATGTGTGGTTACGTTTTTGCAAGAAGAAGAAGAAGCCTGAGTACCAGGTGTCTGTGGATGGTCAACCATCAAGTCCTAATGAGGCAGAAAATGCTTTTATATTTTAAAAAATCTGGCAAGCTTATGATATTGCCCACAAAAGCCATCTGCCTTAGACAGCTGTGTCTGACTACAGCTTCTGATGGCTCAGGCTGCTCTTTCCCCAAGACAGAGTTGCTATCTAGGTTAGTAACATGGATTTAAGGTTTTATGTTTCATGTAACAGGTGGGTTCACAATGCAGAAAAAATATTACTTTAGTAAGGCTGAATGTGATGAATTCTTCACTAGAACAAGAACGATGCATACTGTATAGGAAATTGATGTACTAAATGTGTATGTGACTGTACAAGCCCAGAAATACATGAATTATAGAAATCCCTCCCTACCTGTGGATTGGAAAAAATAGATGCTTCTTAAGTCATTCTCTGTCACCTCACCCTGCTTCATTTTTCTTCACAGACCCTGCCATTGTATTGGATTATGTTTGTTTCTGGCTTGACCACCAGAATGCAGACTCCTCTACAGCAGGAGCTTTGTTCACTGCTCTTTCACTTGTGCCTGGTGTATAGAAGGTGCCCAGTAATACAGAAAGAATGAATGCATGGATGAATGCTATTTTATATTTATATTTTTATAGGCAAAACATAGTTTAATCTTCATAAAGAAAAAAAATTGTCAACCGTAATTGTTTCCTCTTTTGTGTACCATGTAGGATAATGCAGGGAGAAATCTACTTACATTCTCTCCCTTCATTAAATGAAGATTGCACCCTGAAAAACATGATAATTCAAGAAGATAGATATATACATGCATAATCCTGTGATTTGTGGTAAAATGAAGCAAGAGACACTTTGGGGTGCAAAATATTTGTTAGAAATAAGCATCTGTGAAAGGAAGGGGGAAGAAAGCAGCCTGGGCAGAGGGAAAGATGTAACTGCGATGCAGGCTTGACAAAGCCTTGTCCACCTGTTGAGGTGCTCTGGAACAAGTGTGGCCTGCTTGGCTCAGTTCCTGGATGCAGGCTGCCCTGTGAAGGGTATACTTCAGGCAAGGTGGCTCTCTGCAGATGAGACAGACCCAGAAGGAGCTGACAGCAGCAGGCTGATTTGCTGGCCATATTCTTGGCAGCTGGGCAACAAGGCCTTCCTTAAAAGAGGACTTGGGTGACCTATATTCCTGACTAAGACAAAGTATCTGTAGCCGCTAATTTGAAAATTTTGTAAAGAGATAATGCCTTCCTATTGCCTGAACTTTGAAATATCTAAGTAGATCATGACACAGCAGTAATGTTTCATGAACATTGAATAAAGTGTTTTAAGACAAGGGTTCCTCCTACAGATCATGAATGCTTACACTGATGGAATTGGTTTGTTTTGGAAGCAGGTGCTTTTCAGAACATTTATTTACTTTCGGGCTTTATAAATATATTTACAGCAATTCTTGTTGTGTGATCTCCCTCTCTTTGCTCCCATTTATCTTACCCTACCTATGGTTTTGCTAAACACAATACTTTTCAGGAACATAACTCCTATAACTGGTGAGAGAGTACTTCATCTTCTAAAATTTCATTTGTAAGTTATTTGAATTTTGAGATAGCTTTTCTTAGAAGGAAAAAATTATGGATGATGTTTGTCTTCAAGGCTAGCCCACAAAGTTCTGCCTTCTCTAGGTCTCTCTGATTTCTGAGTATTCTTGGTATCTGAAATTTAGGCAAAGCCACCCTGAGACTGGCCAGGGGGGAGGACCAAACCTGTTGCTGTTGAGTTGATTCCGACTGGTGGTGAATTAAAGCTCTGACAGTTGGGCAGGACCCATGATGGTTTAGGGTAGGAAAGAGTGTTCAGAGATTGGAGGGGCAGGGAGAAAAGCTTTCGTGGCAAGTTGGTAGGGAGGTGGGCTAGTCATTTCTATTTCAAAGTTCTCTGTCATTTGGAAACTGCCTGCGTGTTCATGGTGGCTACGCTGTAATTATGAGTGATCTTGGCAGCTCCTGTCT